GCGTGTTTGCTAGTGTCTTGATTTTGAGTAATTTTGTAATTTTTTTCACTTGTTTACTCGGTTTGTTTCAATGGCCGATTTATATGGAGCATTAATAAATGTGCTAGGTCTTGGTGAGACAATTCATCGCGATTATCAACAAATACAACATGATGTGGGCCTAGTCCAAAGAAACAGTCACAACAAGAAGGAGAACCCGGCGGTTTATCTTGTTACGATCTGTCGTACGTGAGCGTCAACGTCACGATTTAGTTGAATCTGTACGAATGGTTAGTTTCACCATGGCCTGTGGTAAAACTAACCACGTCGATAAATCCCAGTGCGAACGACAGGAAGTTTACCCATTGGAATGTTACCCACAGTCTCGGTAAAAATTTCCCTATTTTAAATCCAGTGCGATTGCGGCTTTATAAGGTTGAGTTCATGAAGATTTGTCTTATAATGTATCAACACTCTGAGTGGCGTTTTAAAGTGTTGATTGTTCAATATGTTAATATTGTAATATAAATAATTGAATCTTCATCTTGTTAATATTATAATTGAATCTTCATCTTTTCCACTCTGATGTCGTTCTCTAAAGTTTGCTTGAGATCTTTTTTCTTTTGTTTTGCTTTTGTTACTTTTTTATCTAGCCTATACCATGAGTAGCTCTTAGCCGTGTATATAGCAATTTCCATAAAAAAAATTTAAAAAAAATAATAATGTAGATGTTATGTTATGGTAGATGATAGGCCTATACACAGTTTATTTTTGCTGGTACTGTATGTACAGTACTACTATTTGTGTCTATATGCTGTATGCTTGCTGTAACACTTTAATTTAAATTGATAATATGTTGCAGGTTTGGCTCATTATAAATTATGTTCAACATAAAAGCAATTGAATTAACCTTTTACTTAGTACTTTAATAACTCTTCATAATTTATGAATATGTTTTGATGTTTTTTCTCTTTGTAGGCTCTGAATGGTTTTGTCATTGTGGTGCAACAAGATGGTCAGATTTTCTATGTCTCAACAACAATCCGAGAATATCTTGGATTTCAAGAGGTAAGTATCTGTACTATGATGTAATACTTGATACAGCTAGCATTCAATTTTATTTACAAATGAAAATACATCATTTGGATAATACAATTCAATATATAATAGAACAAATATAAAAGAAAGTATATAAGAATATTTAAGTTCAATATTATTAAATTGCACACACATAATACATGTTTCAATGAAAGCCAGTTTCCTAAGTATGTTTAAGGTTGATTTAAAAAAGGTACCAATTAATGCTTGCTTTATTAAAATTTAAACTGAAAGATGTAGAAAAAGCATAAAAACAAAAGAATTTCAAATTGTAGAATTGTGTGTGAATCTTAACCTCAAGTTATAAGTAGGCTTACATTGGGTGGATCATTTTGCATGTAAAATATTCAAACATTAGGGAGTGGGCATATCTCAAGCTTTACAGTATTTACTTCTTATTCATTTTGAGGATCCTATTCGATATCTCAACTTTTCTATTTAAAATTACAAACAAATAATTTATATTTAGTATACAAAGCTCCTTAAACCTTCAGAATGATAATAATACAAGCAAAATTTCCTAAACCCAGTTTTGTTAACCTGTCAAATCTTATTGAGGGAGATGAGAAACACGAACAAAAGATTTAGTTGGAAGTATGGATGAGCGAAAATGCATTATAATTTTGAGTATGGTAGTATTTAGAATCTACATGTTCTTGGCTGTGGGAAGGTCTATTTATCTTTGTATAATTCTAGAAATATAGAGAACGATGTAGAGGATACCGATACTAATCCACTGAAAGTGAATCTATTCGTATAAGAATTATACCACATTATTTCTGTATTAGGTTAGATGGCATTTCAGATAAAATTGTACCATCTATCCGTCACCGTCACCGTCATCATCATCATCATCATCAACATCATCATCATCATCATTGTCATCATCATTGTCATCAGCATCATGATCATCAACATCATCAAGATCATCATTATCATCATCATCATCATCGTTTCAAGTATTATCCCCTCATGCAAGTGCAAGACTGTTGAGATCTATACTGTATGGTGGATCTATCATGTTAGATCAGCCGCAAATGATTGATGATGAGTACCCCTCACAACATCCCACCGTGACTACTACTACTCAGATTATATATGTTTCCCTAATTAATAAACCTTAACAATTTAATGATTTGGATGGAATGGATCACCATCTTTTTGCACAACCTACTGGTTATTAGGAATTTAGTTAATTTTGTGTAGGATGTTGAAGTACTGTATAAACTGAAGTCTGATGAGCATGGTACCTGATATTTGTCCTCATTGTTGCTGTCTTCCTTCTGCCCCAATCGCTGTGCTAAATTTAGTAATTGACATAACTGTCTAGATGGCTCCGGTATCCGCTTTTGTTTGCAGGTCAGATGTGCTTTTTCATGGTTGAAGCAAACTACAGGATGGGTAGGCCTATCCGTTTGTGGTTTGCTTTTATTTACTCAATAGGCCTGTGCAGGTTCTGTACCCTACCCACCTGTTAGTTAACGTTGCTATTCTTGTAAGGCTAAAGTTGAGCTTCATTTTTCTATTAACTTGTTATCACTGGATAGTTCGGCAGTTCGGTGCAGCACCGTTTACTTGTCATCACAAGATAGACCTTCTCTTTGTTATGCTTCTACCCAAATTGAACCTCATCATGGTTAGCCTTTGTTTTTTTGGATATGTAGGCTGGCTATTTGTTTAACTCCTGGTTGTACCCATAACCCTCTTTTACCACAGGCTAAGCCTGTTTATTTTATTAAAGGCCCTAGTTAAAATGTCTCTATTAGCTTCTCTGAGCAGGTCAGATTTGCAATTTAGTGAGGCCTCCTTTGAACCCCATACCCCTGTCAGTTTTGTCATCATTGGACAGGCCTGCTGTTTGGCAAAACCTCATTCATAGATATGACTAGGCAGGCAACTAAGATTTTGGCAGGTATTATTGAAAAACACATTCAAACAGGTATTTCCTACTTGGCATTTAGGCCTGGTGCTGTGTTTCCACCCATCACTCTTTTATGCTTCAAGTGCACTATCGCAGCTGCTGAGTAATACTTCATCTGCTTTAGCATTTACATAAGCACTAGCCTAATGCAGACTGGATGGTGCTTGGCCCATAATTGCCATACAACTGTCATAAATTTATGATGGCTTCTTGTTGGATGAGTGGTGACTGACACAGCACCTCAGTTTTCTCTCGTCGGTCCTTTGCCAGCTTTTCTGGATTTGCCCGTGTATTTCCTGTGTATCCGTCACATTCATGTGATTGTTCGTTGCATTGTGACTGACGAAACCGTCAGTTGTACTTCTTCTCCCAGCCTGTGTCATCTCCATGGAATAGTGTAAATAATTCTTGTGTGTCTGGCACCCTCACTCATCGAAGTTTCTTATTGTTGACTGTCCACACTATAAAATGACCTACATTCAATGAAGTATCAACAATCTGAAATTTCAAAAAAGAGATTTCAAAATTACAAAATATAAAATTTGGTGTACACAAAACAATTTAGAAGATTGCTTACAAAGAGCATTCAGACAAAAAACATTAAGGAGAATCATAAAATGATGCGAAGGAATTTCGTCCTAAAAGGTTGTTTTACAATATTTTCAGTAGTACTTTTAAGTAGAAATTAACAACAGTGACCAAGAATTTTAAAAATTCAAAACTCTGATCAATTAGTAAAAAAACAATTGCAAAGTAGTTTTGTTAGTAAGGACTTGGTCATGGAAGTTTTTCTTTACTTTTCTTTTTGTATTTTTTTTGGACCAGGAATAGTTAGGGGCCAGGAATAGTTTGGGGTCTTCGTATGTCCAAAGGGAAAAAAATTTACCATTCTTCGATAGCAGCATGAAAAACTTCTGTTACTGACAAAACTTCACAGTTGTACCCCATTGTAAATTGAGTGATGCTCTGGATTTCTGTGTGTTTATCAAGTTTGTTGTGCTTGCTACATGGCTGACAAGACTTCACAGTTGTCCTTCCATCTCCAAACATTGTCAGCTTTGCCTACATACGATGCACAGTTGCTTTCGGTGTGAGGCAAACAGAAAGTACTTGAATATTGCCACAATTAGGCCTTAGTAGGGACTGGGGGTGGGGGAGGGGAAACTAGCACTGATTTCAGAAATGAAATTAGTGGGTCCTAGAGGAGAGGGAGACAGACGGAAAAGTGCCTGGTGGAAACCTGGGAGTTATGAAAAATGTCATCCATTTTAGACAGCTACTCTAGTTTTCTAAGTTTGTCTAAATACATAAAAATGTCATAGCCAGATCCACACCTGGGCCATGCCGCTCAACATTGCTTGGGCTCTCCTACATGACTTCCATATCCTTATATGGGCCCCTCCACCAGCTGCACTGCCCCCAGGTCTGGAAAAAAATGTTTGTGCCTCTGACTATGAAAATTGCCTCCAGCACCAAATATTATCTCTATACTATATAACCATGGATGTAACCCAACAGTTTATTTTTTGAATTTTTTCCACCAAAAATGCCTCTGGGACATTTATAATTCCAATGGCCATAAATGACACACCTTTTCACTGTAGCAGAAGGTAATTCATAGTATTCAATTTAATGAACACAGCAGGGTTGTTTAACAAAATATTATATTAATTTTGAAAGAATATTTCTACTCGGTAATTGGTAAATTCCTGTTTTTGGGTATAAAGGAAATTAAGAGAAAGTGATTGTAGTAAAAAAAATCCTATCAAATACAATATAAACAAAAATACAGTCCAGAAAACCTATACAAGAAATTAGTGATTTCCTATAATTATGTAATTGTTCAGAATAATAATTATTCATGATGATGAAAATATATTTGAAACACTAAAATGTGCACTTGGTGCTTGATGCATAGAATAGAGTAGAATAGGATAAGATAGTATTAGGTGAACAATGTGGCCATGTTAATTAAAGCCCCCATTCCCAGCAAAATTTCAGTTAAGAAAAATCTGATTTTTCTATATGTTATAAAGATTTATAAATATAATATGAAATTGAATTTGGACATTCCTAAACATAAAGAAAATGTAAAATAAGACTGGAATTTGAATTTTTTTTTTATTGTGTTCCACACAAAAAATAAATGCGGATGAATTTTTTAGGTTTGATTTTGCGATAGGTCTTTGAAAAAATAATATAGTAGGCGCCAGAAAAGGCGCCTAGCCTTTACCTCGATTTAGGTTCTGTTATCAGGCATAAAAACGGCTGACATGATATTTTCCGTTGCTAATATTGACACTTGTATAATATAATATTTAATTGGAATTATTTCAAATTTGTTAAAAAAATGATTCTGACCGAGATTTTGACAATTAAACAAACATATCTCAAGCTTACTCGATCGACCGCAGTGTTCGAGATGCGAAGTACAAAAATTAATCTCATTAGAGAGGGCGAACTTTATTGATTGTATAAAATACACACAAATGCAAGAGCATCCCAGCAGATGCGATCTACAACCTCTGAATTTGCCTAGTAATGAAGAAGTCCTAGAAAAAATGGTAATCTCCTATGAGAAATAATATTTCTTATTTTTTTATCCTTTTGCATAAAAGTAAAATTTATGCCAATATTTTTTCATGGTTTATAATAATTTGGGTAATGCATATGCATTTTTAGTTCCTATGCATGCAATGTAATAGGAACTATTGTAATCACTCTTCTTTTTCTTTTGTGTTTTATTTCACTAACTCCATGCGACGTTTTTTCTGTTGTATGAGTAGCATAGCTCTATGATGAGTAGTCATATGAAGGTACTATATTTCCGACAGTTGGCTATGCAGCAATGTACCGTTTGAATGCAAATTGAAGACAAGTGAGGATATAAAGGCAGCTGACTGTCGTGTACACAACGACTGTCTAACTTTCCACAAAAACATGAAGCCTGAAAGCTAGGCCTAGTTCAGTACAGTAGTTACTGCGATGCGAGGGTGGTATATCGTTCAGTCAGTGATATTGTGTTATTGTGATCGTCTAATACATTTTAATAATGTGTGTAAAATTTAAGAATGCACCGCGTGGGTCGCTTGGTATTAGTATACGTAGCAGAGTGACGGCAACAATCTAAGCCTAGCCTAGGGCCTAGATAGTATACGTTCTTGATCATCGTAATGAAAACTTTGGGTGACAGACGATTGGGCCTAACTGGTGTGGACGATCGGACCCAAGGTAGCTTCAAATAAATTGCAGTCCTAGTAGGGCATTGTCACCACCCCCACTCCTGATATCGTTCCAAACTACTGTAAAATGAAATTACTGTATACCTAGCTAGGCCTAAGCCCGATGCCTACGAAATTTTTTCAAAGAAATTTGCTAAAAATATTACTGTAATTTGCCTGTCGAATTACATTACCAATGTGGTCTAAAATCACTATTTTGGGCCATAAAGACTGTATATATATATATATTATATATATATTATGTATATATATATTATTTATATATATATGTATAAACATGTATATATATGTATATACACGTGTGTATATATATATATATATATATATACACACGTATATACGTATATATATACATGCGCGTGTATACATATATATGCGTGTATACGTATATATATTTACGTGTATATATATACACATGTATATACGTATATATATACGTATATATATGCGTGTGTATATATGTGTATATATACATACATATGTATATATACTTTTTAACTCATGTATCATGCATAGGAACGTTGACACCTGCAAGGCTCTGGTTTCTAAAAAAAATTCTTTTTTAAGTGAAATTTTGCCAGGAATGGGGCTTTAAATCAATTCAACCCATTCATCCACTTCCCTTGACATTATTAAATTCAAACATGCATAAAAAAGCCACTAAATACGGATAGTGCAAGCATTATCAAGCTCATTTTTTTTGCATCTATTGTGTACCATCGCATATCAATACTACATACTGTAGATTGTACAGCAATGCATACAAAAATGACTTAGGAAATAGCTAAGCTAATCTGTCTAAGTTCCACTTAAACTAACAATTCACAAGTCTAATAAACATGAAAGATTTTAACTAGTTGATTTATAGTTCACTTTGTATACTGTATTTTCCATAAGCTTTCATTTGACAATAACAAAAAAAATATATATCTCCTAAAAATAATTTTGTTATAAACAAATATTGTCAAGTTATAATCTTAAATAGTATCATGTGAATGGCCAAGACCTACAGATAACTTGATATCATACTGGCGACTAGAGGAACACACTTTGATAAAAATCATATATACATTGATGAATAATTGAGATCACGTGGGACATTTCCCTGTTGTCAACAGCATGCATAATTTATAAGTAGACATGTTTCTTTTGTCCAAATCCGCTAATAGCTGCTGATGGGTTATGATATGCATTATACTGTACTATTATTGGAAAATCATTACAGTTACCGTACTGTATATTGATAGATTTATTCCGATTCCGGGTGTACCATTGTGTTTCTGAGCAATAAGCCAAGTTTTTATTAACTTATCTTTAGGTCTCCACGAGTTGTCTACAACTCAGCACGAGTGGATTTGATTTGACTTTTGACCATTTGAAATACAAATTACAAAACAATTTTTTTTTATTTATAAAAAATAATGTGTACTATAATTATCATGGAAAGCAAATCAAATATTGAAAACCTAGAATTTTTTACAGTTGATAAACCAAATTACAAATTGGAGATATAATACAGGTACATACTTTCATATTATTGTGAGACTGGTGTGGGATTATGAATGCGAGTTTGATATAGAGGGTTGATGATAGGGTAGGAGAATAACTCTCCTCGCAGTGTCATTGTTCTGAATTGCGTATTAGCATGATGTGCAACTACTGCAATGACCGTAAAGAGGTGTTTAGTAGCATCACTTTCATATCATCCACAATGACAGGGACTGAAATGAACCATACTGTATCATTGGGGTAACCTCCTACTACTCTATGGAAAATGAGTTCTTTAAAATGCATATGAGATAGATACGTACAATGTACGTCCAGTTTTAGGTGTTTATCCAAGGAGACTTGGTTCTACTAAATGTAAACCTTCCAAAATTAAGGCTGGCCAAAAAATGAGATAAAGAATTGGAAACATTTGACTTAAGTTATAAACAAAGTTTGTACATAATTTAAATTGTTAATATTATTTGAAATGAATGACTTTCAGCCAGTTAAGTTCCTTTTTCCCCTCCATTTAGGCTGACGTCATGCATCAGTGCGTGTATGAGTTGATCCACAAAGATGATCGGTTGGCATTTCAACAGCAGATGAGCGTGGATCCCATCGACGAAGAGTCCGAAGGCATGAGTCAAGAATTACAGCCAGCCACTCAAAACCACGGTAGCGTCTTGTGCAATTGAATGAGATGCCAAATCTTTAAAACATAAAGAAAATGACAATTTTTTTCCCTCCTTTTAATATTTTGATGGATAAATTTTGAATATTGTTTTGAAATAATCCTCAAAAAAACTATATAAAAAAATGTAATTATTTAGTTTCAAAATATAATGTTAATTATATCAACCTGTCATTTATATGGTAATGTACAGAATTATTTTTTCTTGGGCTGTAATAGTAAAAATTTATTATCCATAAATATATGAATAAATACAGGTACAAGCATTTTGTTCCAGTGAATGTTTTTTTTAATGTTTATGGCATGCAGCTGTTGGGAATATAAACATTTATATCCTACAGCTACTGATACAATAGTGCAGGCTCACTTATATAATTATTCCATATGGATGACAATAATTAAGCCTGTTGGAACTGATGATGAGTCATTTATATAGAAATGAGTCATGAGTATAACTGCAAGATTTTGATCCAATGTAAACTTTAATTCAATGTTGTTGTAAATCAGTTCAAACACATGGCCTGTCTTGAATAGGACCATGACATTGAATTTTGTTTCTATTCAAACTGACAAATATATAATTGATAAGTCAGAAATTCCCAAAAGAATGGCTTTTTAGATTTAACTCCTGTAATTTTAAATCATTTTTGAATGCAATAATTGAACACTTGAAACAGAATCAAAAACATTTTTTTTAAGTCATAAAAAATGTGTATTATTATTATTACTACTTCTATAGTTATTTATTTTTACACTGTTTTATAAAATTAATTTAATTTTTTTTTTTTTGCAGATTTCGGTGATAATATCGTACGGTCCTTTGAATGTCGTTTCCGATGCCTGTTGGATGAGTCATCTGGGTTTCTGGTAATGAAGTGATTGTGATGAAAATTTTTATATATTTATGACATATCTTTGTAGTGAATTCCAAGATTATCGTCGGCAATTTTTAAGATGATATGACAAAAAATTTAGTGTAGTATTATACAGTTTGGAAGCAGGTATTATTCAAAAAATTGGATTTTTTTTTTTTTAGAAATCAGGCTATAATATACCATGGAAACCAGAAAATTCAAATGTTAGTGGCTCAAAACAGACTTCACTCCCAAGGACTAATAGGGAACATTGTAACTTACTTGACTGTTTGATAAAAATGAAGTAATACAAAAGAAATGAAATTTTACAAAATTTAGTCTAAAATGTAGGTGGTTTTTTCAGACTTTTACATTTAATTTTTATTGAAGACCACTGAAATCATACAGATGTGGCTTCTCTATGGCAAATCCAGATTGTGATGATGATGGATTCCATGTTGCTATTGTGTTATCGTTTCTGTAAGAGGTCAACAGCATGACCTCTATTTCCTGTTTGTCAGACTTGCCATCTAAAACAATATTCTGGAAATTTAAACTCTACATTTTATATTTTGATCAGAAACTCAAGTTTTCGGGGAAACTGCGGCCACTACACGGTCAGCGGGTACGCGGAAAAGACGGCATTCCCATCGACAAAGACCCACCGGAACTGGCTCTGTTTGCACTTGCCTGCCCCGTCGAACAGTATTCCATTGTGGAAATACATATTCGAAATACAATATTTCGTACAAAACATGATTTGTCTTTTAAGCCATTGGCTGCTGACAAGATGTAAGTGAACAGGCTTTTAATGCTGGGATAATTGAAAATCAGATCAGTTCCTCTAATTGACAAAGTATCTTTTGATAATGTTTTTATAGTAACTCAGCCATTAACAATTTAGCAATGAATTAAAATTGTGTTTATTGAATATGTTCCACAAAGTGAAAGAGCTGAGACAATGATCATAAGATTTTGATTTATTTAGCAATATGGAAATATGAATCACAAGTTGTTATATTATAAGCAATACATTAGCATGTAATTTTTTAAGAGCATTGGCGCATGAAATTCGACAAAGTATTGGGTGGCCTTATAACAAAGGAACTACGATATTATTGTTTTTATACTAATAGCAATAAATAAGTGTTTGATTGTTGACTAATCTATTGAACAATTGATTAATTAGTTAATCTATTAATGATTTGTGAATTTTGTTCATCTATTTTTAGGGGTGTTGAGGTTTTAGGTTACAGTGAAATGGAACTTATCCAGTTACCGGGATACCATTACATACACTATGAGGACTTGATTTACTTGTCAGATATACATAGCAACTGTAAGTATAACCATGGAGGAGCACAACAATATGTGTCAAGTAGGAGAGTGGACATAATGTTGTTTTTCAACTATATTTTAAATAATAATAATAATAATAATAATAATAATAATAATAGTAATAATAATAAAATCATTTATAAATATAATCTTCAGTGCTTTGAGGCTTTTTTTTAATTTGGTGCTTTAAATTATTATTATTATTAAATTATTATTATTAATAAATTACAGAGCCAAACTTTATTTTTTAAATGCAGTTAGTAATTTTTATGCGACATAATAAAATACCTTATGTTGCATATAGTATTCCTTGCTTAAACGTTTTGGTTTTAACATTGTTAGAGAGTGTAGCCAAGTATTTATTCCTTCGGGAAACTTCAGGAAATGTAGGGTGTTAGGAAGCTGGTGAATAAGTTGAAGGTTGTGCAAGTTTATGTTTTTCCTGTGAAAACGATGTCCTTAAAATGTGGTATATCAAGTTATGATAGGTTAATGTTAGTTGGGCCTGTGTAGTGCATATTAAAGTCTCTCTGCACTTTCTTGTTTGTCATGGTGATTGAATACACAGAGACAAACCATGCATAATTTGCAACGTTCTCTGCTCCCTGAGGAGTATTTGTGATAATTCTGCACTAGCTAGATTCATTCCAGACCATCCACATCCTACCAGGTACCCATGTTTACTGTGGACAGATACTTTAGTGTAGATGCAATGTTTTGCAAAAGGACACAAGCTTTTCCCCTAGATCTGCTTGTGCCCAGACGATGTGACTAGCATCCATTACACATCACAATTTGAATGGAAAGCTCAATGCCCAGTGTGACATCATTACCATCACTATTTTGATATGAAGTAAAACTGCCTCTTTGGGACACCCATATTCAGGTGACACCCATATTCAGGGGACACCCTTATTAAGGGGGCATTATTTTGGTGCTGATTGTGTCTCCTTAATCGAGGTTCTACTGTACCTTAATGTACAGTATATACTTTGGTAATGATTTTAAAAGTGCCACCAAAACACCAATTCATCATACCTCATTTCCATTTTATCAACTCAGTCAATCCATAAAGTGGTCATCTGATACTGGAAGTTAACACTCACCGAACCCAGAACCTCACTAAACCTGCCTTTCAAGTTCCTTGAACTTCCTCTAGCCACAAATTATTCTTTTCTGCTTGTAAACTTTGCCAGGCCCCTGCTATGAATAAATTCAACATACATTTTGAAGTACTTGTGGATGCCTTAAGCACCTTCATAAGAATAATAATGAAAATAATGATAATAATAATAATGATGTGCTACAGTATATACCGGTAAATATTCAGATTATTATTGTTGTTTTGTTTTAAATACCATCAGCAAACAACATAAAAATTGTATGCATTTCATTTTGTTATTAAGATTCTTAAAAATTTGTTCCGTTTTTAACTTTATTTTATAATTAGTTTACATATGAATTAGTAGTTAATTTTTACTGCAATCTAAATTCCATGCCAGTTATTAACGTTAAATGTTTGCATGCTGTATTATACTGAGGGCGCTAATCAGCTAAGCTCCGTGGAGTTGGTAGAGTTAGCTTCACAATCATTGTTCAAATAAAAATAAATTATTAGATATCAAAATGACATGAAGAACAAAATATTAACCATCTGCAAATTTGAAATCCTTGATTTTTTTTGCAATTTACCAGAAAAACAAGGATGTTGTGAGGCATTATCCAGATGAACTAGATGATGTCACACATGTTGTGCCTTGCATAACATGTGACATTTTGTGAAGGGTAGAAACAGAAGCAATGATGCTTATTTCCTGTTGAAAATCTCTGCTTTGTTTACAACATCATCACCTGTCACATAGCATTTACATCAATGTAGGTTGGGCTCTGTGCATAATATTGTTATTCAGTACCCGAAAAAAAACCAAAAAAACATGACATATTTTTATGCTTCAGAGAAAGGGCAACAGTGATAGACAAAAACCATTAAGAGTATTCATTATAATTTGTTAATCTTTGGTGTTTACAATCACTCACATACCTACATCATAGTATATGTAATAATAAATGTGTTAACCAATTTCCATACAAAATATTTGCTACCCTCAAGTTGGTAGTGGAATCTACAGATCAAACTTATAACTGATGGAATAAATCTATAAAATCCAACCCAAGCTTAAAAACCTGACTCCTAGCACTAAATCTAGCCTACTAAAATTCAAATATGATTAGCCTAAAACAGGCTAGCCTAGTATGTTTAGGCATTTCATTGGGTGAGTGCCAAACTCATATACAAAACGATTCAAAGTAAAATGCAATGATAGGAAAGTATACTAACCAAGTAAGTTTGAATATCTACAGAAGACTTCTGCCAACTGAGGCAATGAGGGTCTTAGTGTTGTCAGCCCCTGCCTTACCACTTAACCAATCAACCCGTTCTGAATTTCAAAAGATCAAAAATATAACTGATGGAATAAATATCTATAAAATCCAACCCAAGCTTAAAAACCTGACTCCTAGCACTAAATCTAGCCTACTAAAATTCAAATATGATTAGCCTAAAACAGGTTAGCCTAGTATGTTTAGGCATTTCATTGGGTAAGTGCCAAACTCATATACAAAACGATTCAAAGTAAAATGCAATGATCGGAAAGTATATTAACCAAGTAAGTTTGAATATCTACAGAAGACTTCTGCCAACTGAACCATAGGCAATGAGGGTCTTAGTGTTGTCAGCCCCTGCCTTACCACTTAACCAATCAACCCGTTCTGAATTTCAATATTAAGGGTTGTGGAAATTCCTAAAGATGAAATTGTGATACTTGAAGGTGATTACAGTATAAAACATAAAATTAGTATATATTGGTGTCCAACCATATATTTGTCATTAAAATTGTATGCATTTTATTTTGTTATTAAGATTCTAAGATATTTGTTCAGTTTTTAACTTCATTTTGTAATTACCGTACTTGCGCGAATAAGCGCCCCGTTTAAATAAGCGCTCCGTTTGAATAAGCACCCCTCAAAAAGTGCCAAAAAATATTTTAAGCACGCAGGCGCTTATTTGCGAGAGTACGGTAGTGTACATATCAATAGTAGAATTAATTTAAACTACAATCTATATACCATGCCAGTTATTAATGTTTATGTTTGCTTTAATAGTACTCCGCAAAGGTGAAACAGGCTACTGTTACTTCCGGCTGTATCGAAAGACTGGCAAATGGATGTGGGTGCAAGTAAAACCCAGAGTAATTTACAAGAATGACCAACCAGATTACTTGGTGTCCACTCACAGACCAATGAGGTAAGATACAATGAATGCTAACTGGCCAGAGAATGAGGGAAATGGGAACTACCTGTAGATTGCACTCGGTGCTTTTAGCATCAATTGCCCTCAGATTCTGAACACATTAAATAAAAAGTAGAGATCTTCCAGTGTACATATATTCTGGTATATTTTATTAAATCATCATGGCATAGTAAAATGAATTGAGATGATTATTACAAATTTTTATTATTATTACATTCAATTTAAATGATACATATAAATTCATAATATTTTTTTAATAAAAATTTATAGGCCGATTATACCATAAAATCCATAAAAATGAAGTGAATATGTCATTAAAAAGTGATTTCTCTTAACGAAGCCATACTGACCACTACAATTTATAAAAATAATAACATATTATAATAACTTTTTGTGATTTTTACATAGAGGGCGCTAATATATATATATATATATATATATATATATATATATATATATTGTGTTAATATCAATCAATGAATGTAGCCATATTGCACTCTTTGTATTTGCTTTTTTGTTTTAGTGATCAAGAAGGAGAACAACATCACAAGCAAAGGGAAAATCCCTTCAAGTTTCCCTTCAAGAACATCCAGTCACCTCTGTATGATATGAATAACCCATACCCACCAATGCCTAGAGGTAAGTACCTGTAAATCTACAATAAACCCATGCAATGTTGCAAGTCGTGTTCTGTAAATTTTATTTCAATTCATTTGCAATATCTGACTCGCACTAGAGAATTTTTACACAGGTGTGCTTAATGTTAAAATTACTTTTTGAGAATTTCTTAAATAGTAAAAAGAAACAAAACCTTACTAAAGTCAGTAAAACTTATAGGCAGGCTGTGAAGGAACACTGGTACCACAGTGAAAGTTAAGCTCCACTCCTTTGAGCATACGCACATGAGGTCTATTCTAAATATGTTGGGCCTCTGTGATGTCTTTTTTTCTCTTATATGGATGTTACATTACACATTTAAGTTTTTATTTTTATTGAGGCCTTCAAATGAACACAAAATACATGCAAGCAGGCAATATACTGACTCACGCCAACCAATACCAATACTGTCTCTGTTATTAACTAGGTCAATTTTATGTAAAAAAATTGAGACATTTGCATAAACAAAGCACTTACTAACAATTTGTTTCAACAACAAGTTCAAATTGAAGTCATTGTAGCTATAAATTAGATGGTTCTCCTTGAAAACATTCTCCACTTCCACATACATTCCATTTACATTACAGCAATGGTGGAAAAAGTATCAAATTAAGAAAGGAGCATTGTTTTTTCGGAAACTAAATATTGTCCACAGTAGAAGTTTGCTTTTGGTTTCGAAGTGAAAAAATGACCTGTGGTTTCTGTTTACCCTCATCCCTAGCGCGAGAAAAAAGGTTATGATCCACTATCATCACCGCTACTGAAGTAATTATATGTCTCTTTAGTATACTGTACATCCTTACTGTAAAAAATTTGTGTGCATACTTATCGACATCAGAGAAAAGAAAGTAATAAGCTATACACAGATTATAATAATGTTAAAAAATGTTGGTTGGTGATCGAACATGATTACATGCAGGAAAATTAAACAGGTTATCACATTATATTATAATGTGTTAATTTTAGGAAATTTTTTATTGTTTGGAAATTTATGTAGTATGAATAGATAGCGTTCTCTGTGATTTCTGCGTGCAAATTCTGTATCAACGCAGTGTAGGGCGCGCTCTTGCAATTACAATTACTTTTCAACTTCGACATAACAAATCTTTTAACTAAGAAAGTGTATCTCACAATTTCTGGGTGCAAATTCTATAACAGCCATGGAAACAGCTAGGACGCCCTTTCAAAAACAATTACCTATTATGCTTCTTTTTACAGAAGATTGACGCTTCTGTTTGTTACGCGCAAAATCTCAAAGGCGCTATGTTATTATAAGATCTTTCTTATAAATCCTTACCTAGAGTTGCATTTAGAGTTAGAAACAAATATAGTTCTGTATATCTGAATTATAATGATTTTATGCCCTGTCCACATTTCCAGTTTTTATATGACAAATACCTATGGTATGCCCAAATATGGGTATGATATGCCTAAATATGGATGGGAGATGACACCATCATGCCCATATATGGGCAATTAACACTAATTTGTCGCATAATATTTGATAGTGTGGATTGAGCTTTATATAGGCATTATGATGTCATGTTATACCACTATAGGGCAAATCAAAGGTATTTGTGTACAGACCTTTATTTCCCATAACCCAGTACCAAATAATAAACATATATATATAACTTATAGTTATGTCTTCTATTTCAGAAATCATCGAGTATATCAAAAGTGGATTTAAGCCACAGTTTGGGAAGGAAGGTGGACCTCCCATAGATTTTGGTGCGATGGGACCACCGCCGAAGGGTGCGGGGCCACCCAATGCTGCCAAGCAGCCCCTGAATGGTGGTATGCAGCCGCGAAATGGACTTGGCTCAAGACCGCCAAAGAGTATGATGCCAGAGTCAGTTATGCGTCCTGGAATGACTGCTAACCGAGTTGATACAATAAAGTCATTTGTGGGTCCAGATGGAGTGCAAAACACTATCATGCAGACACAGATAACAAGATGTGCTAATCAGATACAAAAATTAAAAATCCCCGATCAGTTTAATGTTGAGTATACCCGCTCTGATATGATGCATGCTGCACCTATGATCACTGACTTGACTCCTTGCCAACAAATGGGAGCTGATCCGGTGGGGATCACTGGAAGTTCTGAGGTTGTGTTTGGCCAAGACACTATCCCGACGTTTAACGAAACTATAATGCCTCTCGAAAGGCTAACAGAAATTCCAACTCAGGAGCCTCTCTCATGCCAAGTGGATCAAAGTTGCCAATTTTCAAATGCTGATGTGCCTAAAACTAGTACTACGGTTTCATGTATGCAGGGTCCCAATCAAAGTTTTGTTTCAAAAGATATGATGATGTTTCAAACGGCGATGGAAACTGGAAGTATGAACCAAAAGAATCATTTGTCCTTCCCAAATAACAGTTTATCAAATAATGTGAACTTTGAACAATGTCCAATGGTTGAGAACTCTTTACAGCATCCAGGTGAGTCAAACTTGCTTCCAGGTGTCAATTGTGTTCAGAAGACTGGAGTAGCAACTACATCAAAGCTGCACGATATGCTCACGAAACCGACGCACAACGTCCATCACCACTCTAATCTGCTAAGCGGTACAAGTGATATGAAACGTGAACGAACACATACAGTTGAATATTTGCCAAATGGTTCACAGTTGGCTACTCCTGCTCAACAAGCAATTCCCTCATCTCTACACAACATTCAAACAAACCAGTTAACAGAACAAGGAAGATTAATGCAATCTGCACAATACCATGGAATTCCTCCTGTAGTTCCTATGAACAATCAACAGGTCTTTGGGACAGTTGGAGAAAATAGTGGTTTTTTCCAACCAAAGAATGGAGTTTCAGCTATGGAAAACCAAATGACAATGATTTGTGGAGGTCAAAACATGACAAATGTTGGGAACCAAAGCAGAATGAATGTCGGAAACCAATATGGAATAGCTCCTGGAAGTCATGAACTAAACAGTTGTGGAATTAATCAGATTCCTAATAACAATCAATTTGTAAATGGTATGGGAATTATGGGTAATGAAAACCAAAGAAATATGCGGGAGTTGAATTCTGGGTATCAGCACATGATGAATGATGGAAATCCAGGAATGATGATCAATGGTGGAAATCAAGGAATGATGATGACAGGAAATCAGAGAATGATTAATCATGGTACTGGGATTGTACAGAACCAAAGAATGGTACCCACAAGAAATATGATTGGGACTCAACAAGGAATGATGAATGCTAGGGATCAACAAAGTCATGACTTCGGAAACCACCAAGGATTGATAAATGCCAGGTCTCAAGGAATGTTAGGCACTGGGAATCAACATGGAATGATGAATGTCATGAACCAGGGAATTGCAGACACTGGAAGTCATCAAGGCATTGTGAATGCCAGGAATCAAGGGATTTCAAATATGGGTGATCATCAAGAAATGATGATTTCCAGTACTCAAGGAATTCCAGCCACTGCTAATTATCAAAGAATAATTAATGCCAGGAATCATGGAATTACAAACACTGGAAGTCATCCAGGCATGATGAGTGCCAGTAATCAAGGAATTCCAAACTCTGAGAATCATCATCCAGGCTTAATGAATGCCTGTAATCAAGGAATTCTGGGCACTGCAAATCAAATGGGCATGGTAAATGCTAGGAATCAAGGAATTCCAAATCCAGAAAACCGAAGTATTCCAAATGTTGCGTATCAAGGAATGGGAAATATTGCGAATCAAAGTTTGATGTATTCTGACAACCAGGTAATGGGAGGAACATATCCTGCCAGAAGTCAGCAAGAAATTCTGGAAATGCTGTCATTGTCTGGTAACAATATTGAGCACAAGGGAAATAACTTACCAACAGTAATGGCTAGGAACGTAAAGGATGGACAGAATCAACAAGTTTTCCTTGGAAATGAACAAATGACTGCAAAAGATGCGATGATGTACAGCATGATTCAAAAACAACTCCAAACACCTAATAATCAAGGAATGGATGGTAATGGCTACATCAACCAAGGAATGATGTATTGTGAAAATGATATGCAAGCCAATGCTTTGAACCAAGAAATGGTAAGATCATAACTTAAAAAAGAATATTAATAATGAGTAGTTGCAGAACATGTCATAAGATAGTCCTGAAAAGTGTAGCCATGTGGTGTACTGCAAATATTCTTTATTATTTGCTAATTCTAGGGTTCATCATCAGTTATACCTCATGCGTTTTTGTTGGTAAAAAGTTGTATTTGCTTAGTAATTAGATATTTGTTTTCAAATTCCATGGTCCTGAGTTGAATTCCTGTGATAGCAGGAATTTTTCTCACAACTAAAAAACAACTTCACTCCCTAAGCCGCCTAAAGAGACTTGGCGTATAAAGCATTGTCTATCCTGTAATCAGCAAATTACTCGCTGTTAATTGCAAATGAAATAAATAGAAAAAATTAATTGTTAAAATAAACTGTTTTTTTAAAAACATACATGTATATTGAAATCTGTTTGGTAAAGAAAACAAAAAAAACCCCCAAAGAACCGGTGTACGTAGCTTAAGATGCTTGCTTTCTCTTCTGGTGACTATAAACAATTCCACTCTGTGAAGCTGGGCATTCACTGCTCCTAACGGTTGTCAACCGACGAGGGTCTTTAAAGAATGCAAAGCGACGACGTGCACGCAACAGATTGTTTTTAATGACAATCCGTTTAGACGACCACCCATGTTCATCAGACGGAATTGCATGGGCTAGCGCTCAAAGGGAGCAGAATTGGATTTGTTGTACGGCTGTCATACGACACAGCGAGTGCCCGGCTTAAACCTCATAATGAAGCTTAAGACATGTGATGTGTATAGGCTTAAATTTAACCAGGCCAAAGGGTAATTTAACGTGGCGAAATTGTACCGGTGTTCGCACTTTGATAAAACAGTAGATTTTGTGCGTACATTAGAATTTTAGATATATTATGTGAATATATTATGGTTGTACTGTATATATATTTTTCTCTTTGACAGGAGGCGAGAAATACGAGAGTGCCTGGGGAAGCAATGCATAGGCATTCAACTGATTCAGGGAGCACCGGTTACGAATCCTCTCAACTTAGCAGTGTAAGTAAAGTATTTAAGTTAACTGACGTCCACAGTGAAGTTCCTGCCAAAAGACACTGAACAGAAGTAGCTCCATCTGATATAAACTTGGGACAAATAATTTTGTTCTGAAGATTTAAATTATTCAATTGACATTTTTTTCCCCCTTTAATTTCAGGTATTTGATGATTATTGCAGTTCTACAGGAATGCAGTTGACACCAAATTCTGTCTTTTCTTCACCATCTGGGGTATGTGTATTTGAAATTTGAAATTTTCATTCAATGAATTAGACTAAATTGGCAGCTTGAATATTTTTTTTATTATGACTTGCTCAAGCTCACACTGAGCATGACCAGTCCTGAAGTCGGATATCTCTAGACAAATGGCCAGCCAGGTTTTATCCATCCAATGCAACTTTCATCTTTTCCCTCGGAAAACATGTGAATATACTTAAAACAAATATATTTTTCTTTGATAATAATTGATATCTTCAAAGATATTGCTGCATTTAAAAAAAAAATATGTGATGCCCAGAAAAGGTAAAACATATGACGAATCCTGGCAAACGAAAATTCAGAAAGAGAGAGTAGGATTAAAACGATTGATATTATGTTTAAAAAGTTAAATAGTATAAGAAGCAGGTAAAATGTAATGGAAGTTTATTCCAAAGATGAATGAGTTGGAATGAGATAAAGTATGGAAAGTGGGTGTAGAAACAAAGTATTTGTGAACACGTGCAGAAGCTCGATAATATAACAAAGCAGTCACCATGTATATATACAGTGACAATGTATATCATAAATTTTTAATAATTTTATTGAAATTGTAAGGCTCGCGTACAATTTGGCCTTCAGGCCACAACCTGTAACCGCTTTTGTGGATGTTTTGATGAATAAAAGTGAAAGAATGAATGACCAAAAAAAGTATTTGTAAAACACTGGTTAACAACTTGGAATCACCTTTATTTTTCTCACGTAGAAGAGTGGCTCACCTGGTGACTCCTGCGAACTGTTGTACTAGTGCTGAACATTGTGGCGAAATCTGTAGAATAACTGCATCAAGGTCTTTTGAAGGAATTCAACAAGTCTTTGATAAACTCTGGTTTTCAGAGTCGTTGTCTCGTTGTTTTGTACCTGTGGATTACTTCATGTGATGATTGTGACATCATTGATCGGATCCCTTTTGGATCAATGCTGCATTATTAATGTGTCCTGTTAGCAAGTGAAGGAGACATTTTGCCTTTCATTCATTGGCTGTGTGAAGGAGTTTTCAGATGATCTTGCTACTGATTTATAAAATCAGCGATGTTGTTTGTTGCCAAGAAGCATGAGAATTAAGAAATATATACAGATTTTGATTAGGTGACCGCTAAAAACACTGTTTGAAAACTGAGGCTTTTCACAAGCTAGATTCAAGCAAACAGAAGTTGTAAGATTTTTGAAGTTCAAGTGATGGTGGTATATAGCCAAGTGACAAAAAGTTTTGCGAGTCGTTAACATTTAAAAATGTATTATGTTGCATGATGTATTTTTTCCTAAATTTTCAGCGAATTTGAAACCAAAAATATTTCTGCTTGTCATGAAGGGGCCAGCTTGTTTTATTTTTATTTTATTTTATTTATTTTCAATCTTTCGACAAAAACAGAAAAGTTGGACAGGAGTGCCGAGGAAAAGCAAAAGTTGTGAAGGGAAGTGCTTATGTTATATAAAATGAAATCATTTTCCAGGTAATATCTTTCACTCAGTCCCTCCATTCAGTGCGTTATCCTTTTTGGGGGCATGCAGATCCTTTAGGAAGGGAATTGTCTTGCCCCCTGTTTTTTTTTCTTTATTTTCCTATTATTATTTATTTCATTTACTGTACTTCACATCACGTTTCTCATTAACTTAAGCATTTCAGCAGGGTAGAATGGTTAGAAACATTCAAGTTAATGTAAGGAGACGGAATATGTTTATATAATAAGAACAATGCTGGTACCCTTTGTGGTTTTTAAAGCAAGCCTCCTTTTGGGAGAAGATAAACCAAATAGATAGTTTGTTAATCAGAATGCCAAAGTAAAGATGCATGCTTATTTGTATAATATGTATGTACAGATGTATATATATGTTAACAGATAGATAAATAATAATAGCAGTACTCGAAACCGTTAGACCACAGAGTTAAGTCTATACGTATACCTATAGATCTCTGTGGTGTAATGGTATGATACTTCCCTGGTAACTACAGGTTGCAGGTTCAAATCCCGCCAGAGAGGTGCTACAACTGAAAAAAGGGAACTTTCATTGAATGGCTATGATTGATACGTTTATAACCTCATGTGTCTATTTGAACAATGTTATTATTATCTATCTATTTGTTTATATAAATATATATACATACATTTGGTATATATAAATATGAAATATGGAAGGAGTTGAACTTATCAAGCATTTGTTAAATTTTAATCAGTGGGGAAAACAATCACATTGTTTAAATCCTAAGATCACATTGCTGAGAGAACAGTGCATTTTAGTTTTGTGTTCATCAAAAACATAACTTCATCCATTAACGTGCCAAATATTGAAAAAAAAAAAATCCAGTTACATATTTGTTTTGAATTGCCAACTCATCCCGATTTACTATTTTATCAGGAAAATGTTAATTTTTAAAAAATAATTAAAAATTGTCAATGCTAAATATTATGAAAAGTCTTTTCTTGAATGTTTTTTTTTTTTTTAAGCATGTCTGATCAGCGTAATTGTACCAAAGCATAAAGCAAAGCTGTATAAAACTTGGGAATTTGCCAAACGCAGATATATTATTTTAAACATTTAAATCAAGCTGCATGAATTTGCATAAATTTGCATATTTTATCTAAATAGATTGAATGACTTTTGAATTTAATCATATATTTTAAGATGTATTTGGAGCCACAGAAAGAGGTTCAATTTGTGATTATGTGAAATAAAGAGCTTTTTGAAATTTTAAATGATAGATTTTTATATTCTTCGTATCAACTTTGATGAAGCGATGCACCTGCACTTAAGCTTCAGTGACTTTGTCGGTTGAATGTACTGTTCTTCTGAGGGAGGGAGGGAGGGCGTAGTTTTAGATTTAGAACAAGAGCAGTTAACATCCAGCGGAAAATTGTTTGAATTCTGTTAAGCAGTGGTTGTCATAATATGTAATGTCAGTCACTTGTTGTGTCTGTATACACTAGTGTAGATTTATTTTTCCTCTTTCTGTTGCAACATAGAGGGCAGCAGACACTTAATATTTTGTGTAAGGCTTCACTCAATAGATGGCAGCAAACTCAAAAAGTAGAGAATTGTTTTCAAATGTAACATATTCCCTTCCAACCCATTGTCCCACATGTTATGAATCTTTGACGAATGACCTATGCCCTAAGCTGTAGGTCAAATATATATTTTTTAAGAAGTTTGATTTCTAATTATGCTCTTCGTCGAACTCGTATTTAGAGGTGCAAGAATTGAAGCAGTATGTTTGATGATTGTATTGTCAGATTACTATAACTCGGATCGTCAGGTTCTTTAATATATTTGTTGAGATTCAATGCTGGTAACAGATTGTAGGTAATGTAAAATGCTATTTCGTACAACATGAAAAGCTATCATGCCTTTAACGACCTTAAAGAGTGTGATTAGACCAGTGTGATGATACAGCAATTACTGTAGTATTCCTCCTTACTAAAGAACTAACTCAACATGGAATGGAATACAATTTTAGAATTTTATTTCAAGTTGAAATTTTTCCAAGGTATGTCTTTCCCATTTACAATCCAGCTGTTTTAAATTCAAATCTGTGTTCAGTTTTGATCACCAACTTTTTAAATGTTAGTAATTTTTACACTGACTCTTAAAAGTGAATTAAACTGTTACTTGTAACAATATAACAACGAAATAGTGATAAAATCAAAGCTCGTAAGAGTTTTCAATATCCTAATTTTTTGCCTAAAATCTTAATTTCAAAATTTCTTTATAAGCACAAACAATATGTATATAATAAAGTATAACATTATAGGTTTTTTTTAAAACAAAGTATACAATTCTTGATAGAAAGTGCCAATCAATGTTTAACTCAATATTTTGTTGTAGATTACATCTTTTTTTATTTGTAATGATATGTAGCAACTCTTCATTTATTTGTTACATGTTTTTTTTTTTAAATGGGTGCCATAATTATTAAAACTTAATATTGTTTTGTCAAATTTATATAAAATTATATACAACTATAC